AATCTAATATTCATCATACTTGATAAATAAAATTAAAAATTGTAACATCAGATTCAAATTATTATATTTCCCATAATTTGAGCAATTTAAATGATTATAAATGATTATTACGCTTACAAAAAACTGTTTTATCCACTTTTAATGCTTCATGTTTTTCCCTAAATGTATAATAAAGAATAATCTATTCTACATCTTACATATTGCGCATCATCGTTACATTAAATTACCTTTTTCACTGCGCTGTTAGTTTTTTAAAAGAAATTTTTATTCAAATAACAATGTGCACAGAGATGATTCTCTTGTACCACAAAACTATTTGAGAATATTGTGTACTCCTTTTTATTGTTTATGTATTTATTTATTTTTTTTTTTACAGATGAAATCGACAACCGTACTCTATAGATACAATGATATCAGTCGTAAAAACGGTTTTTACAGTCTCAACATAAGACATGCGGCCATTACCGGAGCTATTTACACGTTGGTGAGTGAGAATATAAACGTTGTTATGGGATTTTATACCAATAAAGATCTATATCAAAATGTTGTAGGTACTTTTTTATGGCAAAGGTTAGGTGTACACCGATTTAGAAAAAAAGTAAATAATATGTCACCACAATATCTTTTCTTTTCACTACTTAACTTACATTTTTGAATACCTATAGCTATTATAACTAGCTTGTATTTTAAAAATCCACGAAAATCAACTACTTTACCGTATTTTACTTTAGACCACGAATATGACATTATTGGAGTATAATATAAACAAAATACGTGAAAAAAAATTAAACAATAAAKCAAAACGTTGAAACCCCCCTAATCAATATTAAACAACTCAAAAAAATGTATTGGTTGTATTTATTTAATTAATAGAATAATTATTCTACTCATAACGTGTGACCAGCAATTATATTCATTTCATATTAATGATTTATATGCCCATAGAGCTTAGACTAATCAGTTCAAGATTAGGTACGAGTGAACACAGCACATACAGTATAAAGAAGAATAAGTGGTTTATCTATGGTAAAGAGTATTATATAGACACAATTGCACGTATGATATTATGATATAATTTAAAAAACTCAAGTTCCAACAAACATTTTACGTTAGGTCATTGGTTAATCTTACGTTGAATTAAATTTATATAAAATTCTGAACTGTCCTGGAATATAATCTGCAGATGGATTTTTCAAGGTATAAATACAAATAATATGTAAACATTGGAGATAGTCCTGCAACATTTATTTGTCATTGATAATAAAACGTAAGTACCTACAAACAATGTACAAAACTCAACTGCATATATATTATGTTTTTAATATCTTGTCACACTGCCGAGTTACAAAAACTATCAGCATAGTCATTACGAGGTGAAAACATATATAGAATATTTTAATTCAACCTTTTTCATTCAGAACAATCATGTGATAATATTACCAAAAATTACATTTCCTAATAAGGTGGATTACAGAGTAATGACCGTGGGAAATACAGAGGTGAGCATTAACTAATAAAAAATTAATGTTTTTTAACACTTTTAAACWTAACAAGATGCTYATTATTCTTATTAAGCTAAAAACTTAACTACTTTAATTAACCGACGAAATACAAAAAAAAATCTCAGTTCGATTAAAAATAGTTTATCAAGTTCAAATAATGTTATCAAAATTTTCGAGTTTAATAGTATAAGTATTAATTACGATTTACATTGTTTTAAATAAAAAAATCAACTCTTAAAATACTGTACTCTGTTCACGTTAAGAATGAACCAGCACTAGTCCGACCAAAACTCATTTTGTTCACTACCCCCACAAAACGAGCATGCGCTACAACGCACGTTATAGTGTCAGCCRCCACAAAATTGCAGCTATATAACACGTAGTGAACTCTACTTTTTCACTTTTACCGTATTATTTTCATCTCAGTTATGTTAGTAATGTAAACGATGATTTGCTAATTTCAAATTATAACAATAATTCGCAATTTAACGTGCACGTGAATTAAAAACTTGGATAATACAATTAGATATGACTTACGGCCTACCCTGTGGGTAAAAAATAAAAATACATATCAATTAAAATGTTGGTTCACAACAGAGTACACGATACARTCTAAGATTGTAGTAACATTTAAATGGTATAGATTCTACTCAACAGATAAGTATGTCGCATGTATTATTTTTCTACACACACTTCAACGCAAAAYAATATTTTATGATAATTTTGAACATAAAAGCAGTTAAATAAAAAATATAAAAGTATTTGGACAACAATATATTCAGAGTGGAATTCACTTCACTTCGCTCCACTTAAGTGTTTGTTGTATCTACAATTTTAAATACTTACAAAAATAAAATATACTTACTGAATGTTCAGTTGTTTAAAATTATATATAAATGTGCTAGAATTGAAAAGCTTTGAAACTTAAGTTGTAAAAATGATAAAAACAATATAATATTATTGAAACTTTTTATGTTAATTATGGCATTGGTTTTTAATTTTCACTGCTYGAGAAGACAAATATTATGTAGATTTATTTAACTAATGTAAAATTTCACTATCAAATTAATAATTAAAACAAGCGAATCCACGAATAATTTTATTAGCAAACAAAGTTTTCAAATCAAAAAATTAAATAACTTCTAGACTTTTCATGGTTTTTTTTCACAGCCATTTATGCTGAAAAACAGCTGTATATTTTTCTTTAATTTGATTTGAAAATAATTTTACGCTTAAAAAGATATTTTATATCTGTACAAAAAGACAATATTCTATAATTACGTTTATAAACACATTTACAACATGAGACCTGTTGTTGAAAAATGTATTTTCATTTCATTCAGTYGGAGTCATTACAAAATTCAATATATMTGTTATCGGTATCTGTAAGGAAAAGAGTAGATAAAATTCGTAAGGCAATGCGTCTAGCACGAAAATCCATTTGCCAAAGTGTAATAAGTTTCCGTTGAGATTGAGAATCAAATAAATTCTATGAACGCTTATCATCAATACAGCCAGACTCCGTTTTATACATATTTCCTGTGGATCTGACCACGCAATACAAAGACTTTATAATTGGATTCCCACTACACCCCACATCGTCTTATATATTAACCACCTAACCATAAATCCCCGCCGTCGATTTATAAAACATGAAAAAGATATTTTCTATCAAAAAACTGAATAAAAAAAAAAAAATATAAGAATTGCACTTACTATGTACATATAAATATTTGCGTACATTGTGTTATACTTTATTATACAAATAAATGTAAACATACTTTGATATTTTTAACATTGAATAATAATGTATAAGTATTATCTGAGTAGGTATAATCATAAATTCAATAAGAGTGATTTTATGAACTATCAATACTCATAATCTTAAAAACTAACTAACGTTTTTGAAAAAAAATTGAAAATTGTTCACATAATTTTAAGACGTGAGAATTTTGATTTTTTACATTTTTAACAATTTTTATTTTTTCTGCTTTTTACTATAACTTATTATAAATAAAATTAAAGGAAATTCAATCTTAAGTAGGCTTGACGAAAAATTCAAATCTATTCATATAGCTTCACTAGATCAATCAATAAGTTATAAATATATCACATTTAACTAATGAATATTATGTCACATTGTTGCTACTTTCTAATGTRTTAGACAATTAACAGAAAACCACCACTTTCCATCAGACCAMTGACCATTTGACTATTTTTTTCTTAAAAATCATTTTTTTTTTAAATAATATATTTTAATTGTAAAATGTTTAGAACTAACAGGCATAGTTTTCACCATTTCATCTCATGTTGTATAGAATAATATAATATTCTAAAGTGAATAGTGAGAAATAATATATAGAAATCAAATTCATAGAATCAATACTTCTCGATCACGGGAACTTCCTTGAAAACAACATGATATTTTCAGATTCTCTAAGCACACTACAAATCCTAAAAAACAAAACAAACACAACAAAATAGCAAAGTCCRTTCAAAAAAAAAATAATCCAATCAAAATTCGGAGGTTCAAACATATCCCTCATCTGAATAACTGGTCACAGTAATATTGAAGGTAACGAAAAAGCAAACGAAAATTCCAAGAAAGCAACAAAATCCTCAGACGTCCAAAAGCTAAATATTACAACATATGCAGATTTAAAAAACCAAATCAAGGAACGCATACTTCTTAAATGGCAAACGCACTGGTTTAATCATAACACTAAATTAAGAATAATATAAAACACAACCTTCAGCTGGCCTAATTTCCCCCCGAATAGAAGGGATAAGACAATTATAAACAGACTCCGCATCGACCACACCCGTCCTATACATGGATACCTCATGGAAATGGAAGAATGGCCACTGTGTATTTCGTGTGGAACTGAACTAACAGTCTGCCACTTAATCACGGAMTTCCGCCAATTTACGGATGACGAAGGAATTTAAACGTACCCGTCACGTTGGACACAGCTCTAGGACTGGACGCTGGCACCATCGTACGGGYTCTCAAATTCTTAAAAAAAACCGATCTGTGTAATAAAATCTAAAACAAAAATCGTGTATGCTTAGTGTAACTAATGGCGTTTGCTACTGATGTCAAATATGTTCAATGAAAAAAAAAAGAATCAATAATCGTAATATAGAGTCAGCCTAGCAATACACTATAATTTATTAAACTATTATATTACTATGCATGGGTATTATTTTCTAAAATAATTTAAATACAGATAAATATTTAATTAGTTTTAAGAAATGTCAACTAAAGAAATACTTCCATTCAATAGTATTCCATTGTTCCTTTATTTCATTATGGTATTAAGGATTCTTTTATAAGCATGGCACAAAATAGCATTTATTAAAAGTAAAGGTGTTTGAAAAGTAAAGTAAATAGTATTATCAAAATAAAAAAAWWAAAAAAATGCTAATTTTATAATTGTATAATAATCAAGAAAGTAAAAAATGAACAAAGATTACCCATAAGTTATTGATTCAAGTATAAGTATTCGTAGTGYTTAAATTCGGATGGATAGAGTTCATTAACTATTTTTTTTATACGTACATTGAAAACACCACTACTCACAATTTTCATTAAACTGAGTTAACGCCAAACARTGATATTTTTTTAACAACATTTTGTACGCAGAACTGTGTATTAAGTCATAAATTTTAATTTTATAATTATACTACTTATCATAACCTACTACAATACTCTATAGATATACTTGATATAACTTAATTGTAACTTAAAAAAAAAAAAAATAACATTTAACTTTTACTAACAATGTTCACTAAATTATATTCAAGTACAGATTTTTTAATTATATACAAATTATTTAAATTACTATCCCCTCGGTCTTTTGTGCAATAAAATTTATCAGGCRCCTTCGCTACTCGTAATTAGCTAATATCTACAACAGGTACAGGTTTGTAACAGTTTGTAATAAAGTTTTTGAAAAACCATTTTAATATTGAT